TTTTTTTCCCTCAAAAGCAATCACTCAAGATTTGCCATGGTTTTCATATTGATGATCTGAATAGGCAAATGCCTCCAGGACAAAAATGATAGGAAATAAGAGAAGTGAAGGCTGGGGTTGGAGGTCTCAGGGTCTGAGTGCAGAGGGACTGAGCCTTTTTGGGGGGCTGGAAGTCACCCCCAGACCCAGGAGCCACCAGTGCGATGGATGCTCTGATTTCCACCTCAGGTACCAAACCTGGGACAAACGAGCTCCTGCAGCAGCCACAGTTACAAGATTTGGGCCTCCTTTTGTACATTCCAATTCTTACATCCCATTCCCCATTAACAACACAGAACCCAGCAGGAATTACTGACATCAACGAGCACCCAGAGCAGGGAAAGGCTCCTGTGCCCAACACAAACCTGGGGAATGTTTGGCTCTGGAATTCAGAGCAGTGCTGGTGCCCACACTCATTCTAATAACTCTCTTTTTCATTCCTGTCCTTGTAATCAAATCTACAGAGGAGGGGAAAAAAAATTAAAGTAAAATAAAATAAAATTTAAAAATTAAATAAAATGAAATAAAACAAACCAAAATAAAATAAACTAAATAACGATAAATAAATAAATAAATAAATAAATAAAATAAAGTTTAAAATAAATAAGAGAAAAAATTAAAATAAAATAAAACAAAGTAAAATAAAATAAAATAAAATAAAAAATAATCAAAAATAAAATAAAATAAATTTTAAAATAAATAAAATAAAAAATTAAAATAAAATAAAATGAAATAAAAATAAAATAGAATAAAACAAAACAAAATTTAAAAAATAAAATTAAATTAAATATAAAATAAATTAAAAATAAAACAAATTTGAAAATAAAATAGAATAAAATAAAATAAATTAAAAAATAAAATAAATTTAAAATGAAATGAAATGAAATGAAATGAAATGAAATAAAATAAAATAAAATAAAATAAAATAAAATAAAATAAAATAAAATAAACCTCCCTGGGCTTTGGGAACCTCCCACTCTGCTCTC